GGTAAATTGAATGCTTTCGATTAGGAATTTAGGATGTTTGACTGAGCGTCCATGCCACGCGTTTGGATATTGGCTTGTAGATGCGGTGGTTCTTGACCTGGAACCCATGTCGGGATGGTGCAGCCACATCACAGCATTTGCACTGAGTAAACCGGAGAGTGGGGGGGGGAGAGGCGAGCTTTGCGAAGGTTTGTTCGCAGTGTGGCTTGGATACTTGTGAAGGATGGATCGTGTGGTGAGGAGGGCGGCATCATGGCATACGAAGATTCTCTCTCATGTCCTACCGGTCCGTCGATCGCACGGTTGCAGCGCAAGTTACCCCTTGTCGCGATGGCGTTTAGTGCAAGATTATCGCTCTGCAATCATAGGCAATCAACTGTGTAGATCCGACGGAACTTCTTTGTACCGAAACTTGACGCAAGTGACCTTTCTCACGAGATCTGCAGGATCGCTGCAGTCAAATGAGTTTGGCAGCCAAGCCTGTATTCGTAGAGCTGCATCTGAATCGCCCGCGTGGTGTTCGTCAGAATGGGCTCTGCGGGACTCCTTCAGCCGACTCCTTGGCCAAGCTAACATTCAATATGATCCTAGATTCTCTAGGGGACATGGAGCCATCCCACCTGCAAAGGAATGTGTTGCCCAAAGAACCCTGGGAGCGATGACACAGAATGGGGGGGTAGGATGCGCGGCGGTTAGGGATCGCAGGGAGAGACGGCGCACTTGCGACCATGGCAAGGTAAGGCATGCACACACGCTGACATCGGAGAAGTCGGCACCAAATAAGAAACTGGATAGTCAGAAGTTTCTGGAGCTGAACAAGGCGGAGCTCGACGAAGTGGAGAGGGGAGTTCGTGTCGGTTTGCTAGCTTCCCCGTCGCACGAGTTTGTTGGAGGCATGTTCGCGACATGGCTAAGTGGCGGTGTCGTTGTCCCGTTGGGGTTGTCGCATTCGAACAGGGAGTTGAATTACGTGATGAAAGACGCAGGGGTGTCGATGATCGCCACCACGCTAGAGCATCTTGATACCGCTGTGCCGCTTGCCGAAGCGTGTTCCGCGAAGCTTGTACTTTTACCCCCAATGAGACCGAGCCCTTCTGAGGAATGCCTGACGGAAACCTCATTGCGGTGGACTGCTGGAAGTGTAACGGGCCCAGCCGAACCGTGCATTGGATTTGAGGGCAATCTGGGACCTGTTGGTTCCAAGGGGGTGCACAGGCAATCACAGCCACATGATGACAAACATCATTCCGAGCGCACATCGTCAGGGAGAGGCACCGTAACTGCCACCAGGGGTCAACGAGGCGACAGCTTAGGTATGATGGGGGATACCGGTACCAGCGATATTGCTTCCAGAATGGATGGCGATTCGCCGGCGTTGATCATTTATACAAGCGGGACGACGGGACATCCAAAGGGTGTTGTGCATACACACAAAGGTTTGATGAGCCAGGTTCAAAGCTTGATTAAAGCATGGGAGTGGTCGCCCGCGGATACAATATTGCATTGCCTTCCCGGTCACCATATCCATGGGCTCGTCAATGCACTCCTTTGCCCTGTCTTTGTGGGCGCGAGAATCCACTTCTTACGGAAGTTCAATCCGCTGTCAGTKTGGGAGCACTGGTGTGCATCCTATCYGGCGGAGGACGAACAACCCGAACCGATCACGGTCTTCATGGGTGTACCGACAATGTATGCGAAGTTGGTGCAAGTGTTTGATCAGAGTCCAACACAGCAGCAGGAGCGCTTCATAGCTGCGGCAAGACGGCTTAGGCTGATGGTCTGCGGATCGGCTGCGTGTCCCATTCCCCTCCTGAACAGATGGCATGATTTGACTGGCCACTGGCTTCTGGAGCGCTACGGCATGACAGAGTTTGGCATGGCGTTGTCGAATCCTCTGCATGGCAACCGGCAGCYGGGATTTGTYGGTCAGCCTCTTCCTGGCGTCGAGGTTAAAATCRTTCAAGATGATCAAGACGAGGCTGATGCGAGTGGGAGGGGTAAGGAGTCGTCATCACATGCGCACAATGCAGCCGCAGCACCAACAGGCGAGCTATGCGTAAAGAGCGYGGGGATGYTCAGGGAGTACTGGCGYATGCCAGAGAAAACGCGGGAGGCATTTGACGAAGAGGGCTATTTCAAGACAGGAGACACTGCTACCGTCGTGGATGGCTCGTACAAGATCCTKGGTAGAACAAGCGTTGACATCATCAAGAGCGGTGGGTACAAGATATCTGCGTTGGAGATTSAGTCCACTATTCTTGAACACCCGGAGGTTGCCGAGTGTGCTGTTCTCGGAGTCCCAGACTCTGTCTATGGCGAAGTAGTTGCGGCAGTGGTTGCTCTGAAGKCTCCCAAACATTGCCGCGTAAGTGACCCGCATTTCCACTCAACTCATGCCCTGGAGTTGGCGGAGCTGCGTGAATGGGCTCGCAAGTTCCTTGCACCGTACAAGGTACCACGCCTAATGCGGTTCGTTGATTTCATACCCCGCAATTCGTTAGGAAAGGTGAATAAGAAAAAGCTCTTGCTGCAGCTGTTTCCT